AATCACCTTAATGCATGCTTTAAAAATATGATAGTTTAGTTTTTTTTAATAAAAAGTTATTGGAATGACATAGTTTTAGGATGATTTTCTCTTAATTTTTAAAAGGTAAGAATGATAGGAACTTTTTTTCTTTAAATAATATTTAAAATTGTACAAAAAAAATTATTCTTAAATAATTTTTTCCTTTTTTTTTTTTGCATTTAAGTGGACAAATCAAATGTCAAATCCCTTGCTACGTAGGCATGAGATGGCCATATTTCGTCACACGAGGCAGTCCCCAAATGGCAATGAATGACAGTTAACAGCAGTTAAGTTACTGTGATAGTAAGGGCTTAATTGCATCTATTGTAGAGTTTAGGAGCTTATATGCATCAATTAAAGTTTGAGGGCTTAATAGCGATTCTAGGGTTGGTTCAGGGGCTTAACTTATGGTTTTGCCTTTACTTTTCCTTTTTTAAGGGCAAACACCATCTGTTTCATCCTTTGGGTTCAGAAATGTGCGTATGGACCAAATCCTAGAGCTTTATTTGTGTTGATGACCGGATGGGATACACAAGTCCAATTATAATCCATCACCAAAGAGTCCAATACAGCTAATAACTTGTATAGGGATTAAAAAGATAAAAATGAGCTTTTCAACGTTTGGGGATGCATGGATAAAAATCCAATCCTTGTATAAAATATACTATTTCAAAGAGACTTACCAAATACTACACTCAACAAGTGTTCTTCTTCTCTGTACCCAATTAAAAACGGAAAATAAACAAACTCAACAACAAAGTTTCTTCAACTTTAGGAAACATCAGAGGTTGTACACAACAACAAATCATCAAGAATAAATTCTTGGATCACTAATGTCATACTCACCGCCATAATAAAGCTGGCAGTCAAAATCATCTCACCAAGTGTGCTGAGTGTGTTCCAAGAGGAACTGGAGACCAAATCACTGTTGATCACCTGGTAGAACTAGCTCGTCTATTGGCCTTACTTGCTGCTGTTGCAACTCACTCTTCCTGTCTCTCTACTGTTTTTGCAATGATTGATCAAAGCCAACCACTCACCATTATTTAAAACTCCCTTGACTTGATGTAATTTCAAAGTCCAAGCCCCACTGCAAGTTCAAATATGTGCTCATGAAGACTTTTCTCAACGCCAGATACATGGATATATACAAATTCGAACACGTGACTTCAACTTCGGTCGAGTTTTCAATAGCTTTTACCACTAGAGCATCACCTGTAGAATTGACCATTTTCGCTCCAATATTTATTTTATTGTAATTTGATAATAATTAAAAATATAATTTAAAGAATCCAACTTCCTTCAACTTGATCAAGCGAACTATTATTGATTTTTTTATTGATATT